CATAATTTGGTTCCTAGAAGATGCAGAGGGACTCCAGACAGAACTCAAACAACACAGACACTCTCTGGGGCTACAGGTTCTGGATTAAAAACTCCACAGCTGTACCAGAGTGCTATCCTTTCATAAACACATTCTGACTGCTCAAATTTGAACAAACAATTCACAAGTTAAGTTTATATTAGCAAAGTTTTTTTTGTCAGATGAAGCAGGAAAACAAAGAGCTTAATCTCTCTGAAACATTCACGTGCTAGTTAACAGAAATAGAAATGCATGTCCATGCTTCACTGAGGGTAAACACACATAGCTGAGTTATCCGAGCCTGTGGTGGCATAACTGTAGCAATTGTGGAGTACAACAGCCTGAGGAAAACACCAGGATGCAAACACCGCACTTCCTAACGGCACAAAAAGCTCCTGCTCTACCCAATTAACTTGTCCTTTACTCAGTTCTGTATCTGACCTTTAACACTGTTGCCTCTCCCTAAATATAAGAAAAACGAAACATTATCTACCTTCTGATTTCAGTTCTACAAATGCATACTCAAGGTACACCTGTAGTTTCACCTTTTCCCAACACTAACAAGTGCATTGCTATTTTCCCTATGCCACATGTCCCACGTACTAAGCGTACTACAGTAAAACTGCAGAAGTACACAAAGCAAAATCCACGAATCTTAAATTTTCAGTGAAGAAAATCAAACAGAATTTCTGTTTGTTACAAATCAATGGCTTTAAGATTAACATAAAAGCCTCGGACTCTTGTTGCGCTCAAGATTAACAAATGTATACACATTAGATAATCTGAATATCTGCTTAACCTTCCCCTGCTTGCTGATAACTTCTATTCAGCTATAATAGCATCAAGGAAAAATACCCTGAACCTATTGCAGTTTTAAAGTAAACTGTGTACACTCCAAAGCAAGCAATTAGTTCTACAGCATTTCTACAGCATCAATCACACATATATGCAGGCATACAACCATGCAAATACAAATATATAAACACGTACATAGAGCTACAGATCTATAGATTAGGGTCTAGGGTTGATGAACTATGGTCACATGAGACATATCCATATATAGCTGTCTATTGATATGTATCTCTCTCTATACATATGTATAACTAAATACAGCAAAAGGCACTGCGGGATTGAGATAAGAATAAAAACGAAGTATGTATCTGACATGCTATTTAAATTATTTGGAGTGTCTGTAGTATGCCATGTGGTGCAAGGTCAAGATTACCATTTGCTCCTCCTGAATGATTCTATAACATTCTGCAAAACCTGTGCACAACCCTTTACTCCATGAGAGCAGTAGAATTACACACTGCTGTCTTTGGAAACTGAGCAAACAGAACTTATTACCACACAAGCTATTTGACACAACCCAGAGCATTGCCTAACTGACTTGGTTTAGTTTCATGTGCCTGAAGGAACTGCAATTTTAGGCAGAGTTTGAGAGTTCTTACACCCCAGGGTCACTACAGCAGCTTTTTGGTTGTATTCTATGTCTCTATGAAAATTTGGAATGGCATCTTTGAAACAACAGAAGCAGCACTCATTTCCTCAGAAGGGGACAAAAACACTGAACATTTAAGCTGAGTGGTTGTTCACGTGAAACTGTAGTTTCACATAACATTTAATGAACAGTATTTCACAAAATTCCAGAAGCCTCTGGAGTTTGGGTTCACTGAAATGACTATTCGGTCACGTTGCTCCAACCAGATTTAGTCCATGTCAAAGAAGCTTTATGAATGGCCTGGATGACTATCACCACACACAATGAAGTAATGTGTTGGTGTGCACCCCCCACATACAAATTAACAGCATCTAGCTGAAATACAGCTAATGGAAACAAAACTTGAAAAATACATCAACACTCAAGCATAAGCAGTGCCAGCAGAAGTCAAGGAAAAAGTACCTGGATGTACTGCAACCACAGTAGCAAAATTCTATTCTACATTATTTTAGGAAAAAGCCCACTTGTCCCTGTATCCTTGCCCTGTGGCAAGGCACATAGACATGCCTGTCCTGTTTTCAAACCATCCACTTCATTTAATCCTTACTGTGCACACCCAAAGTACTGAAGTGATCTATTTGTAAGCCCTGCTTACTTCCTAATGCAAGCTAATTAAATATATTGGATTTCCAGTAACGAACTTGCTATTGGTGCCCAGATTACAGAATTTATCTCATAATCAGAGTGGGGAGTGGGTAATAATCAATTTTCCACCTTCCAAGCGGAAGTTGTTTCCAGGTATGTCAGCGGCATTATTAAATAGCAGCCTTAGTCACTTACACTCTGGACTTTCAATAGCAATCAGCCCAGCTTATCAGCCTACCTGCACACACCTCTAGCTTCTCTACCCTCTCCTCCAGCACTCCCTGGCACCCATCAAGTACTTTTCAGTTCATTCACCCAGGCCTACATACAACTCTCTAAGCCTATTACTCAATACATTCCAAAGCAATAAAAAACATAAAAATAAAGAATCCTTTTCATTTGCTTTCTCCCACTCTACCATCCGTATTTCAGATTCCATTTTGACTTGGAAATGAAGCGATGAGTAACAGCAATTCCTATTCCACAAACTTGCCAGTGCTCAGCAGCGACAGTACATCCTGCACTTAAATGAGAAAATACAACTTCCTCCCTTCCCACTCCAAAAATAATCTACTAATTCTCTAAAGAAAACAGAATACTGATACTTATATCTCCTTCACCTCCTTTATTTTCCCCTTTCAATCATTTTAAAGAGCACATAAACACGGCTCTGTTAAGACAACCAAACACACCTTAAAACACATACTCTGCCCAAAACAAAATACCCCAATATGTTCATAGTGAAAAAACCCACAAAAATCAGCAATTATGATTCTTGTCACCACACTAATCTATGTCTGCTTTGCTATATAAAGGTGAATATTAAGGTTGAAGATCAGCACCTTAGTTTCCTATTTTCCCTTTAATTTACAATATAAAAATCAAATATAAAAGTTTGAAATACAAAGAGGACAAAAGAAATTTTGAACACAAATCTCTCTGAAACATTTAACACTGTTTCAGGTAATGCAACTTTCTCCTGAAACGCCTTGCCCATTACTTCTTATTTTCCTACTTTTAGCAGCATTCTCTTTCCTTGCTGCTGCAGGAAAGCAATGGGAAAACTCACTGCCTGTCCAGCTGAAAGCTACAGAAACAACATGTTGTCAAATAGAGAAATTGAAACAAAAGCTATTTTTCCATGCAGAGGTGCCACTACTTCAAAGAAAAGATGACAAAAAAGATGGTATTCTATATCATTTGACTACAATAAAGCTAAACCTCTAGGGTATTTATCAGATATGAAACGGTAGAGGCGGGTTAGGAAATCTAGTACAAAGTATTAAATATAAAGGTTTTTAAAAATGTCCCGCATTTTGCACTAGTCATTTTGCCATCCTTTCTGTAAAGTACTTGTAATTAACACGAAGAAGACAGACTCATTGGTACAAGGCAAGATGTCAATTTGTGTTAAAGAGCAATTATATTACTAAAACTATTACTTAATTAAACACTTCTGTCAGAGTATGTAACCTTTAATCCCTCAAGTGAAGATTTAGAAGGATCCTATCGCTTCAGCACCGTCCCTCATTGTACATATTTCCCTCTTCCTTTCTCACACGCTCAGATGTTTCAGCAGCATACTTTCGGTATTTGCAAAATCCTGCCCAAAGAGCGTGGTTGATTTCCCACGGGCTCCCTCCCCACCCTGGATGAACTCGTTACTTCCCAAAGTCCACTCCACTTCCTCTTCCACCCCTGGACCTGCCAGCGCTCCCAACGCCCCTCCGCCTTGCCTTGCGCAACATCCGCGGCCTCCTCCCCACATTTCAGACAATCCCTGATACGACATTTACATTGAGGTTTTTTGTCGGTTTTTTTTTTTTTTGTTCCCAAACCACTAGCACAGACTGACAGCTTAAAGGGCTAACGATGTGATTAATTCCAAAGAGAGACAGATAATATAACAAGTTACAAAGAGACACGAATACGAAGGGCACTCACTGCCCCGCTCTCCTTCGGCTCTTCTGTGGGTCAAACTGCATTTTGATATTAAATATTTAAACGTTATTGAAAAGTGCCAGCGACATCTGTCCAATCAAAATTATTGTTTGCAGCTCAGACCACCTATTCAAAAGATAAATCTCCCGAGATATTTTAGAAGCACGATTAAACAGCCAAAATAGTACTCTCTAGTTCTCCAACAGAATTTTTCCCCAAGCACACACGTTAACCAAAGGCTGACGGTGAACTGATCTGGAAGGAAGAAAGGACGAGGGATACAGGCAGGGCTGCGATGGGGGATGGGAGCGAAGGGAGATGTTAGGGAAGGAAAGATGAATATTCCTCCAAGGACCATCAATACATTTAACACATCTCCTCGGAAAGAAGAAAAATCTCAAGCAGGCAGCTAGAGGGGCAGATAAAGGGGAAAGGAGGGAAGGAGTGCCCGATTATCCCCTGCTGACATTAGACACGGCAGCCCTGTAGAGAAAAGCGGCTGCAAGGGCGAGGAAGCGCTCGCCTCCTCCCCTCCGAGCCGGCTCTGTCCCCTTTATGTGCTCAGGGAGGAGCGGGGCGGGGGGGCGAGGAGCCTCCTGGTTAATTTGGCAAGAGTCGGTCACCCACCGCTCCCCAGGAGCGAGGAAGGGCCGGGGCCGCGGTGACAAACCTCCCAGGGGAGGGGGGGGGGCAGGAAGGAGGGCGAATCCAGGCGGACACAGTGCCTCCCTCCCTCCCTCCCCCCGCCGAGCCCAGCAGCGCTGGGGGGCACAGGGAGCCGGCCGAGCCCCAGGCACACAATAGCAGGGCACCCCCGAGGGAGCGATGCTCGCCCAGCCCGGCACCCCCTGGCTCGCCGGGGGATGGGGAGGGCACCGCGGGTCGCCCCTCCGGTCCCGGGGGGCGCCGGAGCCGCGCCCGCACCGCCCGCACCGCCCGCGCCGCCGCCCCTCACCATGAAGTCGCTGGCGAAGTTGTCCTCCCCATTGTGGTCCGTGTCCTTCATGGCCTGGACGCGCTTAATGAATTTCCTCAGGATCTCCTCCTGGTTCATCCTGCCCCGCCGGTCGCCCTGCGGAGCGGGGAGCCCCGGCCGCCCGCCCGCTTTCTCTCCGCCCGGAGCCCCCTCCGCCGCACGACCCGTCACCTGGCTGCCTTCCTCGCCCTGCCCTGCCTCGCCTGCCCGCCGCCCGGGCCTGCCCGCGGCCTGCTGGCTGCGCTCCCGGCCCGCTCACGGCCGCCTGCCCGCCCGCTCCATCCCGCCCTGCCTCCCTCCCTCCGCCCGACCCTCCCGGAGCCGCCGCCGACACGGACACGACGCGCTCCCTCCTCCGCCCCCCGCGCACGCGCGGCGCGCGCCCCGGCCACGGCCCCGACCCCGCCCCACCGCTCCAGCGCCCCGCCCCCGCCGCGAGTCCATTGGCTCTCCTGGCCGCCGTCGCGCCCGACTGGCGGCCGCGCCCGCCAATCACCACCCGGCACGGCCGCGGGGGAACGCCCGCTGCACTCCACGCCGCGCCACGGTCCGCCCCCCCCCTTCGCTTCCCGTGGATGGGACGGCCCGAAGGGTGCCTCGTGGAGCGCTGGAAGGGACCACTGGGCGGGCGGGGGGGAGGCGGAGCGGAGTGCGGTCCCCTCTGTCCGGAGCACAATGGGCGGCGGTGGGCTCTCTCAGCGGCATGTCGGGACGTGTAGTCGCGACAGCGCCGCGTCCCAGCGCTGCGGGGCTGGGGGCTCATGCAACGTCCTACCGGAACGGCCGAAGCAGGAGGGTTCCCACACCGTGCGGGGAGCCCGGAGCCGCGGGAAGTGCTCGGGGGTCCCTGCGGGGGCGGTGCCCGTGGTGGTGAACGCGGGACAGCGGGAAGATGGCGGGGCGGGACGGGGCAGGTGACGGGGACGGACACCTGGCCGGGGACCTCTCCCCGCGTGGGTGTCTGTCTGTCTGTTAAGTATAGATATAGATATGTATATATTAAGTATATATCTATGTACGTGGTTATTATTTATTAATTATAGTTGAGTATATATAAGTATACATAATCTGTATATATAACTATATGTACTTCTATATATGTACTTATATATATAGGTGTATATATAAGTATAGATATAGATACACCATGGCACTTCCTGCCAGAACATCATTTAAAATTTCTCCCTTACGTGGTGCTGGATGATTTGGCAATGATTTGGCTACTTCATTCTTTATTTTATGTAGAAATGTTAAACGTCTTCATGTTTGGTGTCCTGAGGACATTTGTAACTTCTGCTCCAGCAAAACAAAGCAATTTTAGAGGTGTGTGCATGTATAGCCCTATAGGTTAGTAAATATACTAAGTGAAGTCTTTTAAATTACCATTTTGTTGGGGAAGAACTACACAGCCTTGGGTGATGCAGTTGATCCAATAAGACTTTGTCACACTGACAAATGATAAAGGTCCAAGCTAAGAAGCATGACCTGGTTAAGGTCCCAAATCAGCCATTCTTGAATGCTCATTCCCACCCACTGGAGTGTGTTTCTCTTGCAGTGACACCTACACAACCCCTTGTTGGACAGTACACGGAACCGGCTTGGGGAATCAAGTCAGCTGCAATATAGCCCACAAAAAGTCAGTGGGTTTTCTTCTCAGATCTTTCAGTTAAGTTAGCTGTGTTACCAAAAGAAACCTACAAAAAGCTTGTTTTTCCTGTGTTGCTGTAAGTTATCACTGGTTAAGGTGACGGCCAAAGGTTACCACTTCCCTACCAGAATTAGCACAATGGCACGTTACCACCCTCGGCCCAATTCAGTGCCCATCAGCTCGCCATTTTCTGAGTGGAGGCAGGTTTTGAGCTATGACATGGGACCCTGAACTGTAGCTGCAGGTGCATGGACACACATTTCCTTCTCCTGCATCTGCTACAGACAGAGTCATCTCTGGCAGAGGGGCAGGTTGGAAAATTAAGAGGCTAGCATTTCCACATGACTTGCTGCAGACTGACTTCAGCATCTTATAAAAGGGTTGGGTTTTTTAGCCATTGATGTTCATGGAGCCTAACTTACAGCAGATAAAAGGAGGCATTAAGGAACTGGAAAAGGGCATCAGTTCTTCTGTGTGGATGTTTATTGAAGCCTGAGCACTCCACACAAGCACCTCAGCTGTCAAAGCTCAGTCTCCTCTCCATGTCTTTCACACCAGCCTCCATAATAAGCTGATCAATCAGCTTTGAAGAGCCACAAAGATGCCTGCTTTTCTTGCTTTAATCCCTCTCCCCTTTTCCTTCTCCAAGCCTCCTTTTCTACAATACCAAAAAGCAGCATTAAAGGGAAATGCAGGAGAGAGAGAGAGAGGGCTCAGAGATCACCAAGGACAGCTGGGGCTTGGATCATCAGATAGTCTTACCATGCCACCTTGCTTGATTTCCATCTGCTTTAGGAAGGTTGCTGTTTGCTCAGTAGCTGTCCTGACAAACCTGCTCCCAGTGCCAGATGGCAGGTAACTTTAGAAAAGTGATACTTGGGACTAAGCAACCAATTAATGAAGTCTTGAATGCTGTGTGGTTTTCTTCATTTATTCATTCAACCGAGTTACAGAGGAGGAAAGGAAAGATCATGATTTATCGCATTTGAATCTGATACCGTTATTGCCTGACACGGAAAAGACCCAGTTGTCAGCCTGGCCTTGCTCATGATCTGTTGCTGTGTTGTAATAAACTGCTGTAGACCAGCAAGCTTAACAGCAACCTTTCATTTGGGTTAACTGATGAAAAGGTTATATAGTCTCAGAAGACAAAAAAAAAGCCCCCAAACTAGGCATGTGTCACTAGCCAAAACAAAGGCAGGTATGAAACAAAGAAACAGCGGGGTGGAGAACTGTGCCTGGCATTGTTTGCACATGCATGTACCTGTGAGAGCTGCCAGACAGTCCCGAGCACAAACCCAACAGCACCGTTTTTATCTCCTGCAGCCTTTCAAATGCTGCATGAGGCCATCTCATCTCTGTGCTATAAACCTTCAGCAGCAAAAATAGCCTTGTAACCAAGACTTTTGATCTGAGGCTCAAACTGCCTGGGTTAAACCCAGACCTCTGACCAATGTGGCATGTGTGCATGAGTGTGTATTTGTGTAGCCGTAGGAGAGAGGCGGAAAAACAGAGACACAGGGTGAATTACTCACCCTATAGATAGAACAGGAAGTTGCAACCCAAATCTGTAGAAGAAAATTTTGCTTGTGTCTTAACAATCCATACAAGTCTGGCCCTTGAAGAAAAGCAAGTAACTTCTCTGCTATAATTCCATTTTACTGTGCCGTGCACTATCCCAGCTGCTGCAAGGAAGAAAGACAGTTTTTTTCAGTTCAAAGGTGGCTTCTCATGTTCCCACAAGGTAAACATGTGTAAACTGGTAAATGTGTTTCCCAGTGTGCGTACCACGGTTCTGCCCAGTCAATGGATGGGAGCACCAAACATCCAGATTTACCAACCTTCAGAGGTTTCCCTCAGGACTGAGATGGAGCACAGGCTCACCTCAAAGCTGTTTGACTTCAGTGCCTCTGTGGCTTGGAGCTGTGTTCAAAATCCAGTGCATATCTGCCCAAAAGTGTATTTCAGAAAAAAATCAAAGAACTGGGGTGGGAGGGAAGGATGAAAGAACCCTACAGCTCTGAGTAAGGGCATCGTCTCCTGTGGGTTTAATTCCTCCTTTGTTCAGCAAAAGGATTTTGTGTGTTCATTGTAATTTGGTGTGACTACGTTGCAGTGATAGCTCACTTTGTCACGAGTGTCTTCATCCCTTTGCAATAATCTGTAGATTCATAGATTTTCACTTTCATTTGGAGTAATGCCAAATAACTATAATGCACCATAACATGTTATGGTGTGTGTAATTAATAATGAATACTGCAATTATAATTAAATTATGATCAATACATCCTATACATGAAATCTCAATTAATTTTATTCATACTGAGAGTCTGAAACATTTTTGTAATCGAGACCATTTAGGATAAAAAAAATAGATGTTAGCAGGCATAGATTTTAAAATAACACTCCTGAAATATATTCTAAGTGCAGTTGGTTGGAAGTTTTCTAAAAATATGGTGTTTCAATGGAAAATGCTGTTTCTGTGAAAGTTACATTTTCCACAGGAAACAATTTTGCCAATGTTTTTCTGCTTTCCGACAAAAACAATGCAGTGTTACACTCACAGATGCAAAAATGTCTTTACCATCGAAGACAGCACAACTTGGGCGAGGAACTCGGCAGAGTATAAATGCCAGGAAGCTGCTGAACAGCTCAAGGGTACACATAAAAACTAAGTCCAAGTGAAACATTTGTCTTTGATCTGACAAACTGAAATGCAATGTGTCTTTCCACAAATGTCAAAATGTCAATATGTTTCATGCTGGTTGAAAATAGTTAAATGAAACATTCAGAAATATCACGATCACATACTTTTAGTATAGTCTTATCCTCAAAACTGTTGGGTATTTAGTCATTTTGTTTCTGAAGAGAATAAAAAAAATGTATCAAGTTTTCCGGCTGATCCTCAGTTACAGTTTGACCACTTAGATTATAAGTAACAAACTAACAGACAGCAATCCTCACGGAGTCTCAAAATACTGATTTTGAAAACAAAAGGCATTGTGGACAATAGATCTGAGGAAGATACACAGTATCCTTTGTATGCAACAAATAAATTGAATTTCTGATTTAAACCTGAAACTAATCTCATTTTAAATGAGTCATAAAGACCTGATCAGTGTCTGTATAATATGTTCCATTCATATTCATTAAGTGCCATGTGACTGCTGGATTTCTTGACATTTGCCTCTATTACTCTCAGTTAGGCAATGACAGACTCCTGTAATTACCACTGAAAATACTACTACTACTACAATTTAATTTTACCTGGCTTGCTTAGTTTTTATTTATTTACTTACCATCTTCTGAGATTCATTGCATGATATTGCTAAAACCCTTTAAAAGTGACATTTCTTATGCAGCCAATAAATATTTTAGGTCAGAATTACTGAGTTTCATGATCAGTGCATAATTTGGATTCCTCTCTAGCTGTGACATACATACACAGCCCTCCATACCAAAACAGTTTCCTTACATAGAAGAAACTTTGTTCTTGCTGCTGTACTTACTG